TCATGACCTCATGTAACCTTCCTTACCTCCTAAGAGACCCATCTCTAAATATAGTCACCCTGGGGCTAGGGCTTCACAGTACGAATTTGGGGAGATGCAGTTCAGTCCACAGCAGAAAGGGAGGCAGCCTCAGGCACTGTGGGCCATCCTACTTGGAAACCCATCTCCTCCTCCTCTCCCTGCACACAGGAAGTCCACACCCCCCTGGGGCTCCCTGCACCTCCCCTCACACCACCTGCTCTTGGACTCTGCACAAGTCCAGCTGCTTTTATGCAGCGCCCCACCTTTAAGTCGAATTCCGCCGTAGATGTGTTTATTTTGGGAGGGAGTCTGTGGTATGTGTTTTGAATTAGTAGCCACCATATCCAAACAGGGATGTTTTGGATGGAAACCCAGCGTCCCAGCTCCTAAAGACAGACAGCTGTCAGGGCCGGTTCCCGTCCCCACGTGGCACCCGCCGGAGGGACAGGGTTGCAGCCGCCCTCTAAGAGTGGGGCCTGGGCCAGCCGGTTGTGGCGACCTCTAGAACGCCTGGCCCTGTCCTGGCGTGTGTGTTACATACCTGTCCCTGTGGGCAGTGGCGTTTGAAAGACTTGCCTTGGCCCTTTTCCCTCCTGCCTCATCCTTATTAGAATTCACTTTTTGCCCATGATTTTGCAACACAGCAGCTAGAAAATCAAATAAGGCCGTTCCTATTTAATGTGTTGGTGGATATTAATGGATTAAAAGATCTCCTTAACTGCCAGTTGTGTAGCTGCCCTGGGAGGGGGATTTCAGGGACACGTGGACCTAGGAGTCCTCAAATCCAACCCCAGAATGCTCTGGTGGGTGTGTAAGTGGAAGTAAGGAAGAACCCTTCCTGTCTGTGGCTGCAGACAATTAACTTCCACAAACTGTGTGTTTTGATTCTTGCAGGGTAGGCCCTGTCTCATGAGGGCATCCACTGGTTGGGAAACCCTCTTTTGTGTGGCTTTAACCTCAAAGGATTAGAGACTGAAATGAATCCCGTTGCAATGCTTACGTGTCCTTCCCCGAAAACAAAGCCAATGCATTTCTGAAGAAGCAAAAAGATATCTGGAAGCTGGGTTTTCTCTTTTCACGATTGTTATTTCAGGTCACGAAGCTGAGACGGGGGTGGTTCCTACAGCTGGAGCTCAGAATGTTCCCCCCGTCAGGGTCCCAGCAGCGTGGGAGTCATGGGCTTCCTGTCACTAGGCGGGGGGCGTAAGTCATCACACTCAACCACTGGCACTCAGAGGTGGTCAGAACTCAACAGCATCAAAGCCCCACGATGGCAGACCCAGCGAGGGTGTCAGTTACACTGTAGTGTGTGGGACCGTGCGTGCATTGGTGTGATCCGAGGCACTGAGGTGCTGGTGCCTCCCTCTAGGCTGTAGGAAACCCTGTTCCTCAGACAGAGTGTCAGATTATATTATCCCCCCCACCCCACCCCACAGTCCTCCTCTTCCTCCGCCTGGGGACTCTCACGGCTGGTGCCACCGGTGCTGGCTGCTGGCGGACTCTCGTTTTCTTGTGTTGCAGTTCCAGGCCCACATCTTGGAGGCCTGATCTCAAGCGTGCAGCCAGCACGTAGGTGATCTGCATTTTGCTTGGTATTCCTGCAGAATTGCTTCAGTGGTGCTGATTAATTCAGAAAGGCTTGATTAGATTGGGGTAGTGTCCGCCTCCCCGGGTGGACAGCTCTGGTAGCACACAGGGTCAGTTACGAGGCCTTCCAGGTTAAGCCATCTTGCCTTTCAGCGTCTTCACAGGATCAGAAGGGTGAGCAGTAGGCGTGTTCTGAATTCCCCCCCAAGGCCTGCAAACACATGCGTGTCAGGGTGGTATCTGTGCCTGCCACTGCAGGGGACAGTGGGGACCAACGCTGGCTTCCCTGTGGAGCTGCTCGTGGAACCACACGTCCCCATGCCCACCTCTGGGCTTCTTCAGGGTAAACATGGACAACATGGGATGCTCATAAGCTGGCAAATAAAGTCTCACAGTTTGAGGAGGCTCAAGCTGGTACCTTTGCTGTTTTCTTTGTGCCTTTACCTGGCTGTCTTTGTCACTGAATGGGTTTCCTTTACTATCATGGTAAGAAGAGCTTTGGCACTTGGCTAAGTTTTTTGTGATTCTTGAAGTGTGAGGTAGGGGGTCGTTAGTTTCAAGACAATGTTGCTTTTCCGTAGCTCTCCCTGTTACTGGCTTTTGTTTTTTTGAGACAGAGTTTCACTCTTGTTGCCCAAGCTGGAGTACAATGGTGCGATCTCTGATCACTGAACCCGTCTCCCGAGTTCAAGTGATTCTCCTGCCTCAGCCTCCTGAGTAGCTGGGATTACACGCATGCACCACCATGCCCAGCTAATTTTTTTTTTTTGTATTTTTAGTAGAGGCGGGGTTTCACCATGGCCAGGCTGGTCTTGAACTCCTGACCACAGGTGATCCGCCCGCCTCAGCCTTCCAGAGTGCTGGACTGGCTTCTTTTAGGGTAGGGTGCATCCAGTATAGTAAGTGGTATCTGAAGTGCCTATTCACGCTTGGACCAATTTGGGAAGCTACATTGGAAAAAGATGGAGGTGTTTCTCTCCCTTTGCATGGGTTGGTGTTTCGTGGACAAGATTTAGATCCTGAGCTTTTTTCCTGAAAAGATTGATCTCATTTCATCAGGTTAAGCAGCTGACCTTGAATCACTAAGATGGAATATAAATAAAATAAATAGATGTAAGCATTTCTATAACCACCAGAAAATTGGGTGAAAGACCAGCCTTGCTTATCCTCCCTGTGCTCCTTTCCTGCAGTTCACTCTTCCTAAATGCAATGCAGAGAGAGGCGGATGGCGTGAACCAGGTGGTTGTTTGGTGGCAGAACGTGCAAGAGGCAGGCAGTCATTGCAATGCCTTCACGAGGGAAGGGGCCACTTGTTTGAGCCTTGACCCTGTGCAGTAAGATGTACTTAGTGTCCCGTGAGATTGATGTCCGCAAATCCTCCCAACATCTGCTAGGGCTGTAGCTTTTACATTCTTAAGTCACAGAGAGTGCAGGGATGCCAGGCAGCTTGTCCAAGGTCACGTTTAAGGAGAGCTCTAATTTGTATTTAGGCAATTTGACCTCAGAACCCATCATCTAACCCCTATTTCAAATGTCTCCTGTTCTCAAATTCTCTGAGCTATGGCTGCCTTAGTTTACCTTGGGGCATGTCGGCCTCTGAGGTCAGCAGCGAGGTGTTTTGATTAGCACACCCATCCCATTCCCTTAAGACCTCCAGGGATTCCTCCATGTGGGACATGCTGAAGCGTCTGCAGTTCTCTCAAGCAACAAGTGTGGGACTAAATTATGATCTGCTTTACTTGAGAAAGGCAACAGTAAGTGTTATGCCATCCAGACCGTCTCAGAAGACAGAAGAGAATTGCTCCATTATCAATCACTTTCCCTAAGGTGGAGGGATCATTGATTCCCAGAACAAAGCACCACTCTTTTACATTTGGGTTCCATCACTATGTTTTATTGCTGTGAAAATGTAGGTGCCATAGAGTAGCGGAGCTCATTATGACTGTGGCTAAGAGAAAAGGAAGGTTGACTGAAAAACGGAAGCTGAAAGTAGCCAGGAGGAGCCTCTCTTCTCCTGGGCAGGAGGAGCCTCTCTTCTCCTGGGAAATGTTGAAACCACGTGATTTCTTGCTGCTTTCTATTGTGTGAATGGAGCCTAGACTCGTAGCACTTGAAATATTGTGACAGAGATGAACAAGATCATTTCAAGATGTGAGTGTCCCACCAGTATTAATTCATTTAGGGTGTGAACAGAGAGCAAACTCGAACAACTGGGAAAAAGAGAAGTTCTGGGAAAAAGACAAGTTCTCAACCTGACAGCTGGTAGCTGGTGTAGTTCCAGTCGTCTTCCACTGTGAGTCATTGATTATCCTTTCTGCTTCTCTTTCGACCTTTTGGAATGGATGTCATTCTCTCTTTTAGGATTCTCAACTTACTTATTGAAGTCCTTTTCAGGTTGCTTTATTATTTTTATTTCTTCTGGAGTAAATTCATCCTGATTATTAATTTTGTGGGATCTCTTTAGTAGGGTTAGCTTTCTTTATGTGTTCTGGAATTTCTTTTTCAGATTCATCTTGAATGGGAGATTCTTAATCCATCTCTGTGCTCACTCTCCCTGTCTTACCTATTTGTAGTTACTGTACCGCACCCTAGGTGCTCCCAGTCTTGAATTAGATTTTATTATTGGCAGCTCTGAGTCCCTGTGCCATGGTGATATTAGAGAGTAAGACAAGTCCTAAAAATGAGTCTAAAAATGGGTCATCTCCCTCTTGCCTCTCTAGGTGTATCACCTCATAAAAGCTCTGGCTCTGAGCAGAGGTGATGGATTATTTTCAGCTTTCTTTGGGGGCTTAACTGTTGCCTCGGGTCATGTGATGACCTTAGTTCATTTCTCTTGTCTTATGTGGAATACACTGCATCTTGGATATCCTGAAAAAGCTGGACTCTTAATTCTCCCTGCCTATTTTTGGACTCTGAATCTAGAAGGTTCCAGGAGTTCCACTCACCACATTGTGTTCTAGCCATTTAGTCCTTAGAAAGCTTTATCTTATTTTTGAGTGGCTAAATATTTCTAACCTTTCTCTATCTATTGTTTATTGTGGCTGTATGTTTGGAGCAGTGTTCATGGGGAAAGGGATGGGTCAAAGCTTATTAACAACTCCAATTGCTGAGAAGTTCTGTTGCTTTTTTAGGACACAGACACTAAGTGATTACTATATATTATTGTATTGTATTCTAATCATCGTAAAGTATAACCTGATTGCATTTTGCAGAGTTGGAAACTTATGGTTTGGAAAAAGAGAGATGAGTCCTGACTCATACACAGCTTCTGGACCGCAGAATCAGTGCCCAACCTTGGGTCCCATTTCCAAATCAGAGCTCCTAACCACTGCACTCGACCAAGTCTCGAAACACTGGGGCACCACCTCACATGTCCTTTCCTTTTGTCCTAGGAAAATGAACTGAAGGATGCCACCCAGGGAGAGCATCGCCTGAGATCCCATCATGCAGGCCTTCCCACAAGGGCCCGGCAGCATGACAAGGTAGCTGATACCACCATCCACAGACCATCTGGGGCCCTGGAGGGAGGGGGCTCGGCCAGGGAGGAAAGACTGGGAAAGGGCAGGGAGGAATCACTGAACACCAATGTGAGGGTGGCCTGAGAGGCTGAGCCAGGTCTCTCTCACTTCTTCACGTGACCAGCACGTGAGGCACCCAATGATGTCTTATCCACTGTCTTCTGGTTATCTCTGCTTGGAAGTCTATTAGGCACCTGTATCTTTAACAACAAGGCAGAACAAACCCATTGGTGTCTACTCTCCCAAACCACTTTCTCCCCAGTTAATGGTATGGCCGCTCCTGATTGCCTGAGCCTCCATGCTGGGGCCTCCTGGGCGCTGATCTTACTTCATCCGAATCTAACTCCCTGCTTGAGTCTGTTTTCTGTTGCTCATAACAGAATACCTGAAACTTGGTACTTTATAAAGAAAAGGAATCTATTTCTTAAGCTATGGAGGCTGAGAACCTAAGGTTGAGAGGCTGCATCTGGTGAGGGCCTTCTTGCTGATGGGGACTCTACAGGGTCCCAAGGTGGTGCAGGGCATCCTGTGGCAAGGGGGCTGAGTGTGCTCACATACCAGCTCAGGGCTCCCTTCCTCTTCTGATTAAGCCGGCAGTTCCACTCCCCTGATAACCCATTGGTCAATTAACACATTAATCCATTAATCCATGAATGGACTCATCCATTCATGAGGGCAGAGTCCTCGTGATCCAGTCACCTCTTAAAGGCCCCACCTCTCAGTACTGCTCTGTTGAGGATTAAGTTTCCCACACATGAAATCTGGGGGATGCATTCAAACCATGGAGCTCACCAACCAGCCCCCTCACCGCCAGACGTGCCCCAGCTCTCCTCCCTTCCTCTCCACTGTGGTCATCTTCTCTTTCCCAGATGCCAAAGCCATTTCCTAACTGGCCTGTCCAGCTCCCTTGTTATCCTATGGTCTTTTCCCTATGGCAACTGGAATAATCTTGTGATGCCCTCTGGATCACGCAATCCTCTGACCCTTCCAATGCCTTCCATAAATAAAACTGAGGCTTCTCCCTGTGGCCACCATCCTGTCCGTCTTGCTACCTCCCGTCCACCTCTGACTTACTTTCGTTCCTTGGATCCCTAAGCTTGTCTCAGTATTCGATGGTTGTCTCTGCTTAGAACACTCTACTCCCTCATCTTCAACAGCTGGGAGCTTCTTGCCTCTCAAGCCTCAGGTTACGTGTCCCTCCTGGTGAGCATTTGTGGCTCTAACATCTACTCTGATGGCCCTCCCTCCATCCCTTTTTTCTCTATGTGACCACACCTGTTTTCATGTTCTTTGTATCTTTTCTTGCTATCTTAGTCTATCACGGGTCTTCACTTATGTGTTTCTCCGTCTCCTATGAGAATGTGGGCTGGTCATTGCAGAGGACTTTCTGTCACATCCATGACTGTCTCTCCTGCACCTTCACAGGATGCACAGTAGGTGCTCAGCCAACATCTATTGAATGATGGGTGGTTTTAAGCTGTTAATTTTGCAGCTTTGACAATGTATATTTCAAGGAATAACTGAGTTCTAGTGATTAAATATAAAAATTAGAGATGTCTTGATTTGACACTTGTTTTCTTGCCTTCTCGTTTGGCCATTTTTTTAAAGATGCGCTTTTCAGGAAATTACAAGTGTTGATGAGGATGTGGAGAAACTGGAATCCTGCACATTGTTGCTGGGAACGTAAAATGATGCAACCACTATAGAAAACAGTATGGAAGTCCCTCAAAAAATTAAAAATAAAATTGCATATGATCCACCAATCCCAATCCTGGGGATAAGAATTGAAAAGGGGGCTGGGCGTAGTGGCTCACACCTGTAATCCCAGCACTTTGAGAGGCCGAGGCGGGTGGAACACCTGAGGTCAGAAGTTGGAGACCAGCCTGGCTAACATGGTGAATACCCCATCTCTACTAAAAATACAAAAATTAGCCAGGCGTAGTGGTGCATGCCTGTAATCCCAGCTACTTGGGAGGCTGAGGCAGGAGAATCGCTTGAACCTGGGAGGTGGAGGTTGCAGTGAGCCAAGATCATGCCATTGTACTCCAGCCTGGGCAACAGAACGAAACTCAGTCTCAAAAAAAAAAAAAAAAAAAAAAAAAAAAAAAAGGAGGGTCTCAAATGATATATGTACATGTTACAAATTTATAGTAGCCAAAAGGTGGAACTAGCCCACATTTCCACTGACGGATGAGTGAATAAACAACACGTGGCATATGTGTACAATGGAATATTACTGACCCTTGAAAGGGAAGGAAACTCTGACACATGCTAGTGCGTGGATGAACCTTGGGGACATTTTGCTGCGTGAATAAACCAGTCCCAAAGGGCAAACGCTGTCTGATTCCACTTGTATGAGGTTCCTAGAGTCATCAGAGCCATACAGACAGGAGTAGAATGGAGGTGCCAGGGGCTGGGTGCAGGGGGATAGGGAGGTGCTGTTTAATGAGGACGGAGCTTCAGTTGGGGAAGAGGATAGAGAGTTCTGGAGATGGGTGGTGGTGATGGTTGTGGAACAGCGCGAATGTCCTTAATGCCACTGAAGTAGCTACACGTAAGATAGTTAAGATGGTAAATTTGATGTAATGTGTATTTGATCATAATTTTTCTTAAAAAGGTGTGTTTTAGGCCGGGCACGGTGGCTCACGCCTGTAATCCCAGCACTTTGGGAGGCTGAGGTGGGCGGATCACGAGGTCAGGAGATTGAGACCATCCTGGCTAAGACGGTGAAACCCCGTCTCTACTAAAAATACAAAAAATTACCCAGGCATGGTGGCGGGCGCCTGTGGTCCCAGCTACTCAGGAGGTTGAGGCAGGAGAATGGCATGAACCTGGGAGGTGGGTGGAGCTTGCAGTGAGCCGAGATCGCGCCGCTGCACTCCAGCGTGGGCGACAGAGCAAGACTCCATCTCAAAAAAAAAAAAAAAAAAAAAAGGTGTGTTTTAATATATCCTGACCCTTCAATTAGTATGCTTTCCCCATTTTTCCACCAGTCCCCACTTTCCAAACCTACACTTTCAGGAAAGGCTCTGATACACTCACTCACACTGAGGTCTGAATGCATCATTAGGCTTAGTGACTTTCTTAGGCCAGGAGTATTTTTCTTCAAATAGGAGGAAAAATATAAAAAAGATGGGGGCGTTTCAGACCTCCAGTGCAGGCTGACGGCAGGGCTGGTGGGGAGCTGGGCACAAGGAGGTTGGATCCTGGGATGGCTTTCTTCCTACGACTAAAATAGCTGCATGTGTCCACACTCTGCTCCCGAGCTGGGCTCCTGCACCTGGAGAGGCAACGCCAGCTGTGGGGGCACGGGGGTGCTGGAGCTGAGCCCTGCAGGCATTGACCAGGCCAGCAAAGGCCGGCAGAGGTGGGGGTCCCAGGGCTCAGCCCTCACAACGGCGGCAGCCTCCTTTCCTAGATGGCTGGTGGTGCAGCCTGACATCCCTGCTCCCGTGGGATTCAAACCGCTTTGTTTGTTCGCTTGAGGTTTGAATTTCTCCCTCTGCTGTCTTCTCAGCTTGGCCTTTTAAACGAGGCTGCAAGGCACAGGAAATGAGCTCGCCTTGGCTTCTGCTTTGCAGGGGTGTCTCAGGGAGCCCAGCAGCTCCCCTGGGTGGACAGGAATGGCAGTGCTTTGGGAGAGGCAGCAGGGGCACCGGGTCTGTCCTGCAGCCTGCTTTGCAGAGCTTGGATTTCCTTCCAAGTGCCTGGGCTGGCTTCCTGCATGGGAGGCAGTGAGGGAGTGGCAGTCCCCAGAGACTGTCTCTTGGGCCAAGCATCTTTGTGGTCCAGGGTAGCTGGGGAGACTGAAGGGGTGGGGGTGAGTTTGTGCTAATAGAAGCATTCAACCGTCCCTCCAGACTCATGGGTAAGCTCGTCAACGCAAACCTGCAGAAACACCAGTGCTCTTCTGGGTCCCTGCAGACACGGGGGGATCAGCAATTCCTCTATCTGATTCTTGCTTAGAATTGCAAACTGCTTTTCGGTAGCACTGATTAAGAGACAGAAATTAATTCTCAGAGCTCTTAATTATGAATGCAAAGAGACTACATTGTCAGCCTTTTTCCCTGTGCAGGAAGGATTGGTTCTTAGGCGCAAACGGTGGTATTGGGCTGTCTGGGGTGTTGAATTCTCTCAGGCAGGCGGCCTTGTGGGAGGAACCGATGAGCTGGGATCCAAGACATAGTGCAAAGAATATGCTTGATGCCTTTGAAGCTGCAAAGCCAACCTTTTGTTGATTTCAGAAAAAATGATTCAAATTTCTTCTCTGTTTGGGTTAGGAGGGGCCTGTTGAGCTCCCTCCTCCCCACACTGGGCCCCTGTCCCTGTAGCAGGTCTGAGGTTCAAGGTTTTCATCACATTGATTATCTGAGGCCAAAATTTCAAGCTTCTCTTCCACCTGGTGCCACTGTTGCTGCCACGAGAATGTATTTTGAAATATAAATGAGTCCAGTGTCTGGATCAAAGTGAACAGTTCACTCTTACGAGATTTTTTTTAGAGAATAAAATCCAATCCAGTGTCTGGATCGGATGCCCGGGGTGGTTAGTGTGCTGTTGTGTTTGTGTGCGGTGAGCAGGTCTTGGGGAATCATTCAAACCCTGTTAGTACCTGACATTCTGGAGCCGGCACTAGTAGGTCATTACGTTCATGACCTTTGACCTTGCTGTAGCATGGGTCAGAATTTCCTACAACCTAGGGAATCCTCTTACCTGCTGGCCAGAAACCCAAGGTTGTAGAAGTACAGGCACAGCTAGGAAACACTGGTATGAAATGTCAGCCATGTGACTTACTAGCAATTTCCCTCGTTAAGCATTGTTTTCTAGTAAGAAAATTAGGAAAGTTTAAAAGGATGACACACATAGATATTTGGGATTCATGAGGCTTAGTGTTTGACTGAAAGGTGAGTGTCCAGCCCAGGGTTGCAGCTGATTATTATTCTCTAAAAAAAAAATCTTATAAGAGG